TATATATATATATATATATATAGAGAGAGAGAGAGAGAGAGAGGGAGAGAGAGATAAATAGATAGATAGATAGATAGATAGATAGATAGATATTAGATAGATAGATAGATAGATAGATAGATAGATAGATAGATAGATAGATAGACAAAAGCAGCTGTACTTGATTGGTATGTTTGAGTCTGGCGTTTATCTTTAAGAAGTAGAGCAATGCTGTCTCATCTGCATAGAGGGCCGAACAGTGTGGATACTGTTTTGACAAGGTATCGTTTACCCAAAGCATATCAATCAAATAGACAACAATCAGACAACTAGAGAATGCAAGTGTCTTGTCTTCGAGTGTGCATCTTCATGCAGCTATTGTGATAGACATTCTCAATCCACAAAAACCGATGTTTCATGAACTTTCTATCGCATGTTACATGTCCTTTTGCGTTTTGTTTTTATCACCAATATTGAACACATGTCTCTCCAGCTGATTCTCAAGAAGTAAATGCAGTATATATATATACTAGTAGATATATATACATAGTGACCGTTTAAAGCAATATACCATGCAATTTACCTTGAAATGTGCAATGTAGGGTAATAACATGGAAACTTAACTAGACAAGGAAGATATTGACATGTAAACTAGTGGGATAACTAGACAGCTTTCTGCAGCTGCTGATAAAACAACATACAAAACAAGCTTTTGAGCATTATGAAATAAATTCATTTATTGACACCAAAACCAAATATTATATATAATAATGAACGAAAACACGTTATATGACAATAATTTTTAACATGTAACATGTAAGTAGGAAATTCTACGAAGTTAACATTACTATACAGTATAGCAATATTAACTTTGCAAAATTCCTACTAAAAAGGTTACCTGTCAAAATATATTGGCATATAACGTGTTTTCGTTCATTATTATATATGATCATCATCATCAGGTCGGGCGAATTGCCCGGACCAAGTCCACTCTTTCTCGCCATGCCGCTCTAAGATCAAATCTAAATACATGTGTGGATAACATATGATACCTGAGTCTATACATACATGTCTGGTATTGCAGCAGCCAACAGTGAAGAAGAGTCATCTTATACAACTGACGACATAGAAAATGCACGAGAAGATCAGGAAAGCGACAACATACACGACGTACTTCGTCAAATGGGCATCTACATTGACGATGACACAAATCAAAAACATTTGGGCGATAAAAAAGACCAAGGTAAGTTTTTGTTACATCCGAAAAATTTCATCAATGAACTTTATTGGACAATGACGACATAGAAAAACTGCTATATATGTACATGTAAAGTTATATAACAAACATAATATTAGAGCGATTTAATGTTCAGAATCACTGCATGTTTCTTCTAACATAAAAAATCATGTTTTTATATGCACATACATATGTTCACACGGGGTTCTGGCCACAACTGGTATGCAGAATTGGTCAAATCTACTCCAGCATTCATACAATGGCTGTGAAAATTTAGTATCCACCTAATGATAAGAATAAGCTTTAATATCAACCAATCAATATTAATATCAATATTACCCTATAGACGTCTTCAGTAATTTTAATCTGTGCAATGTTAAATTTCCATTGTTCTTAATTTTTGTATCTTTACCTGTTAGTCAAAACCAAAGAAGCAGCATCACAAGTCACTGCCTCGGGCGCAGACGACATTTACGACATTCTTCGAGCCAGGGGACTCAATATAGTTGACGATGACGCACATGCAGACAAAAGTACCAGAAAGCAAGAAGGTATGAAATCGTTATTTTTCTGTCTTGTTGCCGTCGTATTTTGTCCTTCGTATAGATAACATCACGGAACAACATCCATACGACCTTATATCTAACATAAGTTTAACCTCATGAAATCCTCGGTTTACCATCTAGACGTCGTCAGTAATAATGATCCACTCAAACTTGACACGTGACCTTACCCGTTAGTCACCTAATAGGTCACGTGTTGGATGTGAGTGGATTATCATTCCTGAAGAAGACCCTAGGCTAAGTATAAATGAATATACATGTAAGCTTATATCATTTTATATTGAAGGGGGTAATTCACGTTTTACCATATTCAATTCAGATATAAATAAGCTTTCCTGAGAAATCAAAATAGATTTTGATCTTTTTTTTCGTTTCCAGAGCGCGGAGTTCTCATCACGGGTCAAAAGGATGACTCAGCAGACAAACCTATCAACGTCATCAACAACGAGATCTACATTCCCAAACGACTTTGGGACAAATGTAACCACTACTTTTTACATAATATTTTAGATAAACTAAGATATCAATCAATGAAGTGAATGTATTTAATGTTAAATGTATGTATACTATCATTTCATTATTACAGTAGTGAAAATAAAACAAATATTCAGGATCTTGAAGTTCATCTGTGTTGGTAGAAGTCATTATGCAGCAAGTTTAAACTGTAATGTCCAACACAAGAAATTGGACTCACCCAAATTTCCGACTGTACAACTCCAGTCTTTGTCAAGGAATGAACAATCCACTGCTTCCGTGACGTCACGCAGATAACACACTTGACTCCGTGAGCAGTGGATCATAGGTTGCAGAAAGTCTGTGGCGCCCCCCGTCTCTGTTGAGGGATGGTTGTAATGCCTTGATGTAGATGGCCTCTTTAATCCCTCGAGCAAAGAAGTCCGGTTCTAAATCCAAGATTCTTACTTTGTCCAGTGCATTCAGGATATGGCGTCTCAAACGCAACCTTGAAGTAAGAATGTCTGCAAATCCACTATCATGATTATCACCAGGAATCTTTATTCTCTGTTGTCATAGACTTTACCAATACGTTTGATTTATCAACCAGAATCAAACACGTAACATAACGATCATGTTGCAATATTTTCTGAATAAGAACACCTTTCTGTTTTGTCTTGCAGATGTTCGAGAAGGAAAAATCCGCATTATCAACAACATGATTAACGTCTACTTACCCCAGCCTATAGACCTGCCAGGAGGCAAAGGTAGAACTACTTGTACTATCATGAAAGTTCATCTGTGTTGGTAGTTACATGTTTAAAGTTAAAACTTTTGGTCCAACACAAAAAGTTTTCTCACCTAGAGCTTTCTACCAGTCACTCTGGTCTTCCTCACAGTAGACTGACCCAGTGAAGCTTGTCACGTGGCTTCTTTGAAGTGTGACGTCAACACTGATACCTTTGACCCGTGTTGATGTCACACTTCAAAGAAGCCACGTGACAAACTTCACTTGGCCAGTCTACTGAGGAAGAACTTTTTGTGTTGGACCAAAAGTTTTAACTTTAAACACATATAACTACTTGTAATGCTGATGTCCTACGTATGAAATTGCAACTTCTCAGTTTTGTGTTAATGTTATTTCTTGCCAACCATGTTGCTGTTTGATGTTTTTTTTAAGTAAGAGACGAACAATACGGAACCATGAATTGCATCACTGGAACAATTGCGAACTATGATATAAGGAACAGAAAGGGTTCTAAAATCACTTGTTCTGCTTTCTCTTTTTGAACTGACTCAAAATGATACGGCCTAGGAGAAAATGTTGTGTTTCCTGTTTCAGTCCTGAACAAATTGGGGTCGGTAGCGGGTATGGAGGGATTCTCTCTTTTTTTTCCTTTTTTTCACCACACTTTGGAGATCTCTGGCAATATTAATACAGTTTAACAAAGTTTCTAGGGTCGGTCGGGAAAAGGGAAACACAACATTTTTTCTAGGCCTAAAACAAATGTACATTAGTCATGACCCAAGACGGAGAAGGGGGTAAGATACAAAGTCAATTACTTTTGGGACCGCATTCATCTCATTGCAGCGTCATATATTATAGTGAGAAGTAGAAGCGGGTTGCCCTGAGGTAGGTCCACTTGGTATAAACTATTAGTTCTGTACAAAAAATGTTATCAAAACAAAGCTATTTATTTTCTCAGATGAATATCACGCCAATCTGCCCAGTGGCCCCATGACGATTCAGGTGGGGGCCGAGCCTGATACCCTGGGGGACACAAAACTGGAGAAGGGGAAGGCCGTCCTCCCTAGCGTCGTGTTGGGAAGGATCGCGAAAAGAGACACAACGTCGACTTCAGATGAAGATATTGGCACTGTAGAAAGAAGTAAGGTGCTTTTTATATTACGGTAGTCTGGAATTGTACAGCCTTCATGTTATTGCCCAGCTATATTCATATCTCAGTGTAGATTGTACGCAGTACGATAGTAAACAGTATAAAATAAAGCAGTAAACCAGTTTTCTAGCTAATCCTTTGCCCCATGTAGTATTTCAAAACGTGTTGTTCCCAAACATATTTTGGAAGGCATTCAACTTCGTTGAATTCCAAATATAGGCACAGCTGGGCCACGATTTGGAATGTTCCATAAGGCCACAGCAAGTAATTTTTATGGATGACATCAGCACGCGCATTAATTTTCGCCTGATTTGGGAAAAAAAAAACAAGAAATTTTGTTGCCTTCTGACAGTGGTCAACATGTCGAAAATGGGTAAAGATGTCCGTTGCCATGCCGGAAGGTGGATGGCAGATAACTATGAAGAGAGGAGACAAGGAAAGACTCTGATTTAATGTGTTGTTTCTTTAATACTTTGATGCAGTAATATGTGATGCTGGCTGTGTACTAGTATATGTGATGTTCCCACTGAATCAAAACCATTTGTACAATGGTTGAGTCAAAATTTTAAAATGTAGGAACCTTGTTTTTTCGGCCCGTCTTGTTTTTTTCGCCCGCTCGCATTAGATTTGGAGTCTGCGGAGGATGTCATTCATAAAATGTACTTGCTGCGGCCTAACATGGCTTACGACGCTGTGAAGCATACTTGCCTGTCAAATAAGCCTTGTTTGTTTGTCAGTCTGCATGTGTATGCGTATGTATCTATGTGTTTAGATTAGGGTCAGAATCAAAATACTTGATTATAAAACACGAAATACAGACGCACTCAACTAAGTCATTCCAAATCATGTTTTGGAACAGAACACGTTTAAGAACAACAGCCCATATGTTTCGTGTTTCGTGATAGGAACACTATAGTAAGACCACAACCATGAAATATTTTAACAGAATCTTTCTTTATGCTTGTAGATAAACGGAGCGAGAAAGCTGACACATCAGAACGTAAAAAAGAAGAGGAGGACGTCGGATTAAAAGAACAACACTACGACTGACATGTCTCAACACTGGAAAAGAGTCCACACAATGTGGTCTAACCGTGTGTTGGATTCTGTAAAGTTTTAAAGTGATTGTAGAACTGCTAATGAAGCATCGAATCAATAATTAAGTGAGATACAATAATACTGTTAACGACATTTGTTAGGGAATATAATTGGTGTATGGAACTGTTATACTGATCATTATTGTATCCGACATAACAAGGTGATGTAAATGCAGACCATTGGAATATGGCGGAATATAGATCTGTATCATTGACTAAGCAATGTACAGAAATGGATTCGCATGCCTTTTTCTAGGTCTGACATATTTCGATGGACAAGAAGCGTATGAATTAACAAATGATGAATAAAAAAGTTAAAAAAACCTTCAAACACTGTGCACTTTTCCCCCACCCTGTACTATTCTGTACCATCCCCAGTATTGGTGCTGATGTGCTATCCCCCACCCTGTACTATCCTGTACCATCCCCAGTCTTGGTGCTGATGTGCTATCCCCCACCCCGTACTATTCTGTATCATCCCCGGTATTGGTGCTGATGTGCTATCCCCCACCCTGTACTATTCTGTACCATCCCCAGTCTTGGTGCTGATGTGCCATCCCTCACCCTGTACTATTCTGTACCATCCCCAGCCTTCGTGCTGATGTGTCATCCCTCACTATGTACTATTCTGTACCATCCCCAGTCTTGTTGCTGATGTGCTACACCCCACCCTGTACTATTCTGTATCATCCCCAGTCTTGGTGCTGATGTGCCATCCCTCACCATGTACTATTCTGTACCATCCCCAGTCTTGTTGCTGATGTGCTATCCTCACCTTGTACTATTCTGTACCATCCCCAGTCTTGGTGCTGATGTGCTATCCCCCACCCTGTACTATTCTGTACCATCCCCAGTCTTGGTGCTGATGTGCCATCCCCCACCCTGTACTATTCTGTACCATCCCCAGTCTTGGTGCTGATGTGCCATCCCCCACCCTGTACTATTCTGTACCATCCCCAGTATTGGTGCTGATGTGCCATCCCTCACCATGTACTATTCTGTACCACTTGGTGGTGTCTTATCTTATAATGTCATATCTAAAAGGACTACATATACAACACAACAATGATGTCCACATAACATTCTTCCATTTGTAAGTCATGCCATACGTATGACAAATTGCCACCAAGACTTCAATACCCTTCAACAATGCAATCTGGACAAGAAAATACATTGCATACATTTGAAGGTAAGGTAGCTATTTGAAGGAAAGTAGCAATACATAATCATGCTCCAGTAATTTGACTTGGAAACTTGTCCCTTTACATCAAAATAAATAAGATGTAGACATTCAGTGATTCAAAACACTTCAGCTTGTTAAAAGAGCTTGTCACAGGTAAGGCACTAAGCAAAGGGGGATGATTGCAATGGGTTCAGACAACCGAAAAAAGCTTTAAATTTTTTCCAAGCAGTCTTCATTATTTCTGTAAATAATTTCATCAGGTTGGTAAACGACTGAATAGCAAAGTTCTTTCTATCACAACCATTTATTTTTCAAGCCAACATTTCGATGACCTTCTGTCATCTTCATCAGGGCAATTCTGACTGGTTTACTGTGCACTGACACTAGGTGTTACTTGGTGCATAGTGCACTAAAGGTGTTACATAGTTCATAGTGCACTTAAGCTAGTTTTTTTCTGTTTACAATACATACCTTTAGTGCACTATGCACCAAGTAACATATAGTGTCAGTGCACAGTAAACCAGTCAGAATTGCCCTGATGAAGATGACAGAAGGTCATCGAAACATCGGATTGAAAAATAAATGGTTGTGATAAAAAGAACTTTGCTATTCAGTCTTCATTATTGTCAATACATCATGAACCAGTCCATCCCCATGACTCCATTTTCAGTACAGTCCAAATCTTCCTGTGTACCTGATTATTTTCTGCAACAAGGATAAAATTTACTAAATGTTCAGTTACATACATAGATATTATGAACGACATGCAAATTAGCTACATCTTATAGGTTGGATTAAAGGGACACAAGAGATTCGATAAAATCTGTCTTTACGCCATGCATGGTATGTTTGAAGTGATTTCTGCATTTAGTTCGTTAGTCCATCGTAGTTTAGAGCGCTGCTGCCTATTTGAAGTTGTGGCTAGCGCCTAGCGTTCACAAATTTGCCGCCGCCATACCTTCGCAATGACGTAATTATGAAGTTCTTAAGAACTTTGTTAACGTTCTCGCGTTCGCTGCTATTCAATCTAGGTACTATCTCTGACTCCTTGTCTTTTTCTGTCATATTGTTGTTGTTACTATATATATCTTCTTCTTCTCCATCATGCCGACCTGTGTAACAACAGCTGAAATAGACAAGAAGTCAGAGACAGTACCAAGATCGAATTGCATCAAACATTGACGAAAGTTCTTAAGAACTTCGCGATTATGTCATTGCGAAGGTATGGCGGTGTACTCTCCAAGCAGAGGTTTGGGGTAATTTTTGGCGTGTTTTTAGGCTTTTTATCGGGGTTTCTCTTCTGCACTGGAATTTTTTCCCACCAAACCCAACAGAAAAAATTCCAGTGCAAAAGAGAAACCCCGATAAAAAAAGCCTAAAAACACACCAAAAATAACCCCAAACCCAAACCTCTGCTTGGAGAGTAATGGTGGCGGCCAATTTGTGGTTGCTAGGCACTAGCTGAAACTTCAAAGCTCTAAACTACGATGGACTAAAAAACTAAGAGCAGAAATCACTTTTCAGACATAAATAGTTAAAATACTATGCATGGCATAAAGACAGATTTTATCAAATCTCGTGTCCCTTTAAGCAAAAAGATACTTGTGTAGTAATGCACACTTTCCAGTTACTTCAGTGTCTATTTCTTGTAAGTCTAGCATTACTTTTAATCACTATTAAGGCCTCACAAATTTAATCAATTGGTTCCTGGATAACCCGTTTCTTTTTTATGACTTGCCAAAAAATTATTCGTGTTCTGAATCAACTCTAAAATGATCATATTTTGGCTGTAACAGTTGAAGCAAGTTCTTGTCTTCCTAACTTATTTCAGTTTTCCATCAATACAGCAGTTTGATTAAAAGTTCAAAATTCATTGTTTGAATTGTAAACTAGTCTGGTTATATGTTGAGTTCATAATTCCTATCATAGCATTTACATGTAGAGCTATCATAGGATGCCTTGGCCTGAGTTTTTCCTTTTGCCATGTCACTTAATATTTTTTCTGAGAACCAACAAATTAAATTGGTATGGCCTAAAAAAGCGTTTCCACAAAAAAAGAAATTCACTTTATTTTCCTCTAAAATATTATTTTCCACTTGTTAAAATATTACTTTTTGATAGGTCAGTATGTGTATATAGGCAGAGTATTTTGATTACTTTTATATTCATTATGCGCTCTTGTTCAAAGAAACACTTCATGCAACAACTACAATTTTCCACTTTGCATTATGACATTAGTAACTCTCCAGACATGATTTTTTCTAACAATTCATACAAAAATGCTGTAGTTAGTAGCATACATGTTGGGAAGATTTTTTTTCAATTATGAAACACATCAACACTGGCCACTAGAAATTTAATAAATATTAAGTGACCAGTGTGTTTTCAACTTGATTAGTTGTTGTGAATTACACTTTCATTCCATATCATGATATTTCTAAATATTCAGCCCAACCAATTTACCAGCATCTTCCAAATTCTTGTGTCATTTAAAAAGTATGGTTCAGATTTGAACCAGAGTTTTGGCCACCTCCAGATAGATTTACTTTGATCAACTTGGCAAACTTAAGCATGTGCTCACTTAAATCCTGGTGTGATTTTACATAACCTTAATATTTTTTTCATATAAAACATGCCATTTTTGTCTGTCATAATCATGAAATATCCATATTTTTTCTGTAATGTTCTAATTTGCAAAAAGAATGAATCCTTCTGAATCAACTCCAACATGCCCATACACTGTTGGCCTCAATAGATAAAGAAAGTCCTTGTCTTCCTAGTTTTTACAGTTTTTCAATCTATCTATGCAGTGTTTTAACTACAAATTCAAAATTCATTCTTTGAATTATAATTTGTTGACTTCATCACTCCTATTTGGGCCTATAATAGGATGCCTAAGCATTTTTTCCCTGTTGCTTACTTTTTTTCTGCGAATTCGAGAACCAACAAATTAAACAGGTGTGGCCTTACTACCAGGATTCAGTGAAATGATAAAGTGACAGACGATGATCAAAACTCTGATTTGAACTGATATCAATTCTGCCCTTTGAGGGATTTCATTTGTTCTTTGTACCAGTCTGGTGCGTCTGGATTATCTGCACCACATCCGTGATGGTCGTAGCCGTATTCTACGGTCAACTCCTGGTCTGCGGACACAGGCTTGATGGTCCGGATACATTTGATGAAGCCGAACCTCGGATGTTGAAAAAGGTCATATTTGGAATTAGGGCTGAAGGAGTGGTTGACTTTGTGTCCGAGGGAGGAGCAGTAATGTTTGGTGTCGTGGAATGGCGGCGGGACGTCGATCACGATTTCCTCGTCCAGGGAGATGGTGTTGCTGTTCTTCGACCAATCGCGGGCGTCGACCTCGGTGTGCGTCAGGCGCAGTCCGTTGTAGAACGCCACGACTTTGTCCTCCTTGACGGGAACTTTCATGAACAGACCCTCTGACGCACCTGGATTGAAAACAGAAGAAAGTTATCATGTATATATCATGTATCTTGTTCTCTGTTAGAAACATTGGAGGATTATCTATATCTATGTATATTTGAGGCTGCATCTACCTTGTTTAACATGTAATATATCTATCAATATTATGTAACTTTCAAGTTTCATGTCGCAATATCAGCTATCAGCTGCCTGGCGGCAACATTGTATTGCCATGTTGCAATTTCAAATAAATAAAATAAAAGTTTCATGTATGTCAGTTTTCAATTAAAACTACATTCATTGGATCACCTCCGCCACAATCAGAAAAACAAGAGAATCCCTAGACCAACCCTATTTTTTCAGGTCCCTGGAACTGGAAACAAAACAATTTTTTCCCTAGGCCTAAGTAATTCAAAAAGATGCATGTGACATCTTTCTTCCATGCTCTTGTTTACGTACCTTGTATAGTAGATGCACCAACATAAACCATTTGTTGTTCATATGGATCTGGTAGCTGTGGATCAGATGATATACTGCTGCTTGTGGACACGTCACACTTATAGATCCCACCATCTGACACCATCTTGAACTGTGGCCTGTCTTCACTGATCCCCATCACCTCCGCAAGCTGACCTTTGACCATTTCCCCATCCACGAACGAGCCAATGAGAGCAAGCTTCATATCTGGGTAGATGTAGGCGATGTTGCTGCCGCTCATTTCTCCCTCCTCGTTCACCTCCCCGCAGATACATCCTCCATCTGCCGAGTAGATCCAACAGAACCCACACCTCACACCGTTACTGTACTGTCCCCTGAACGTCAGCAGTCCTTCACTGTTAAACTCCTCAGCAGGTCCGTTTAGCTCCCCGTCAATATAAACCCCCTTCAGCACACTCCCGTCCTCGTATGTGTACAGCCCCTTCCCCTGCAGCAATCCGCCGTCAAACACCCCCTCAAGTTTGCTGCCGTCGTAAAAATGGAAGCACCCTTTGCCAGATTTGGCGCCGTGGTCGAAATGACCCTGGAACTTGTCGCCGGACGTGTAGGCGAGCGTGCAGTGCCCGTGAGGGAATCCTTCGTTGTCCACCGGACCCTGTAGCGTGTACTCTTCTTCTTCATCACTTTCCATTGCTGAAGACAGACATAGAATTGAATTGAATTTCCAATACCATGTCCAAATACATTAGAGAACATACAACTACTGTCTGATCAACTATAACTAAATATACGATACTACGTTTGTTATTCTGTATACAGTATAGCCAGAATAACAGGCCTTAAGCGTAACACACCAGCTTCGCAGTTACAGTGACTTACACGGCATGGCAGCAGCTGGCTGTTATTTTTTATTGCATCAAAAGATTGCTATTATGAGGTTCGACTTCTTTATTTGAAGGCAATGGATAATGAATAGGACCACATTCTGCATAATGAGTGGGTTTTGTGATCTTTGTAGAAACATTATATACTTGTTGCTCCTTCTAAATAGTGCAAACCTTAAGAAACAATTACAATCAATTAGCACAATGAATGGAGATATTTATTGTATAAAGTTACACATATCCTTTTTGGTAAAGTCTAAGTTCTAACAACACAACTACGTTTACAGATAACAAGTTACATGTATAAATTCTCAAGCTACATGTAGTACAAGTAGTGACGGTGGACAAATGTAAATCACTAAACAATGCACTGCACTTAGCTGAAGCAAATAAAGCTACATGGTTCTAATATTATAATTTTATTCCTGAGCAGGATTTCAGCTTGTAATTTCCAACAAACACATGTGCACACGCCCTTTTGCTCCACAGCCAGGCCCTTGTGAAGGACTGACCATCATCTGTTGTTATTCACATGACCATTTATAGAAGAGTAGAGACAACCACAAGTGCAACAGGTGCAAGGCTATCTGAAGTAGGGGTGATTCACTAGTTATCGGGGGTTTCATAGTAACGGGGTTGCCGTGAACTGTGAAAACAACCCTGGAGTAACATAAAAGTGTAAACCTGATAGTCATGTTGTATCAATAGCTAATGTCATTTCTTTGAACTGTAATACGTTTCGATAGACCCACTCACTATCTATTTGTGGACTGTCCCTATAATTTCTGAAGCGAAACACAGTTGGGCAGGGCCAACAAATGTATCTCGGTCTTTCCGAGCTCCTCAGTCCCTTTCACAGGTTCTCTAATTGAAAATATCAACATTTATGTTTGAAGTATTAGATGTGTTATCAAAAGTTGTAGTTACTTACCCGCTTGCGCCAGCTTTAAGGCAGGAAAGGGCAAAACTGGTGAGAAACCGTCCTGCTGCTAGTGGTGCTCGGCGGCCATGATGGAATGGTGCTGGGGTGAAAGGTTATTCAAGCCCCCATAGCCTCATAGTTGTGAGTTGAAGGCTGATATCATCAGGTTCATCAGGTAAATTTTTTCACCCTGTGAAGGAGGTCAGTGACGTACGAGTATTAGATTAGCCTTATGAAAATGTAGTTGAAATGTACTTACTTACGTTATTAGATGCCATACTTTGTACACTGTACAATTGTTGCGCAATAAAGTTATGTTTTTAAGACGTATCTGTGCGTTCATAGCTCACAGTGACTCAAGATCCCTTTGCCTCATTGTATGCGACAGACATGATGCACTGGTTGCCTTCCGTTTTTACCTCCATGAAAAATTTTCATGGGTTAAGAAAATACCCAACCCATATCTTGATGGACTTGTGAAATTAATTTCGTCGTTTTTTCTGGGAGTGCACCAGTAGGGTTTTCTCAGTCTAAGCAGATATTGGGTGATTTGTTCGCCATGACTTTAACGTTAATCTTTTTCTTCACACTGGTCCGCCAGCTGCAAAATGTATGCCGTGAGTTGAAAAAGAAAAGAAAATTTGGAAAACGAATGCGAAAGTCAATAATAAGGAAGAGAATGTGGAGGGATTAAAACGAAGAGTCTATTATTCACCATGCCAAACATGTGTGTTTTAATAGATGGTAGTACAACAAGAAATCTTACCGCTATCACTGCTTCGAAAAAAAATTCAAAAGCACAATTTCTCATGATTTTCCAAAACAAAATTATGATGCTAACTTTCTGCCGGGAAAATCCATCGGAGATAAATTTCCACACTCTAAAACAGTTTCCGAAACACATCTAACGTTAATACATAACAGCGATTCTCATGGATACAAGCACATGTCACTTACCTTCTTTGATTTGAAGACCAAGTCGCAAATTTGGAGGAAAGTTTGAAGAAAAGCGGGAAGACTTCGGTCATGGCCTTCTCTGGTAAGAGTTCTGCTCGAAATACGGCCCAGAGGGTCCAGGCGAGATTCTGAGGTTTCCGCCAGACCTCATCACAAAACAAGGAGAAGTCGTAGACATCATCCCTCCATGAAATAGCTTGTTATTTTGTAATCTTTTGGTGTATTTCAATAGAGATATTATGAGTCAAACTTTGTTTTTATCAGCAGAATGATTTGTGGTGGCACTTTGTATTCATCAAGCTGTCATGTGCAGGCGTTTAGTGTCTTGTTACCATGGTTTGTTTACTTTGATGGCCAGCAGGTCATTTGCCTTAGCCTGGGTACCATCCCCAGTAGTATATTCGCAAACTCTATAACTGTTATAGAGTTTGCGAATATACTACTGGGGATGGTACCCAGGCTACATTTGCCTGTACATGTAGGTCAATGACCAGGTCAAATGACCTGCAGACCAGACAAACAAGATTTATTTTCCGGCATCTCTGTCTAGGGGTAAAAATAGATAGGGCTGCCTGGGTCTGACCTGCCAGCTGGAGGTATAAACAAAAACACTCTGTCCCAACTTTTGGGTCAAACAGACCATCCTATTATGAAGTAGGGGTGAAAAAGTGAAAATCCTTTTAAATTAAGCAATAAAAATATGCGACAACCTGCTAATGCACTCCAAAACACAAAGAGACTCAACAACTACCCACATACCAAAAATCATACCAAACCATCCCCCAGATTTTCCAAACATTCAACACAAAAAGTCCAACATTAAACATTTTGTAAATATCAAACGCAAACAGCTAGGGGACCCAAATTTAAACCACTAAACCATGGTAATAACAACTACATGCTACCTTAATATCGCACAAACAGTCCATAACGCGAAAACAACAGAATAAAAAAATTAAACTGCAGTACCAAGGTCAATCACCAGGGGCTCAAAGTCAACCTACACAATCTCCAAGGCCCCATCCATCAATCTGCCAAATATCGTACAGTTCCTTCTCACCGATCTTCAGATATCAGACCAAACATGAAACGGAGTAAAAACAGTACCCCCATTTTCATGGAGGGTAAAAATCAATCCGCCGTGAGGCTTAATACAGCACTAAACTTTGATGTGTAAATATATTTATAGCTTCTACTAAAACCTTATACAATCAAAATGGAAGTTATCCCTATACAAACGTGTGAAAAGTGCGAGCTGGATCGTTTGGGTGGTGGTCAACAGTCTTAAAATGTAAGAAAGTAGTGCGGAGGTGGCGGTACCGGATATACAGGAAGTGAAGCGGTTTACCCATACGGGACGTCCCACATGATGAGACTGTGACAGACGTGCTACTATTAAAAAACTGGCGGGAAGAATACAAGGAACATCTTATACATTACAAGCGCCTGAAAAAACACAAGGCATTTTGAATTTCTGTCAGGTACAAGCAGGACACGGTGTATCATGGCGGCAGAACAACTGTTGTGTCCCAAACCGTGCCTTGTCCCAAACCGTGCTTGGGCATGGTTTGGGTCACTCGGCGCGTGTCCCAAACCGTGCCTGGGGAAAATCTACATTCTGAGACACGCGGGGGACTATCCAGAACCGTGCCTGACCAAACACAGTTCTGGACACGTATTATTTAAGCTAGGGGACTGAACACAGTTCTCATAACATGTGTCCCAAGCGAGTTTCTTTCTTGTATTAACTAGTCTCCGTATATTATTATCTAGGTTCATGTCGACCAAACATAAGACTAAGTTGTGAGAAAACTGCGTTTTGAAAGCACATGCTGTACACAGACTCGCAAAATCTCACGTAATCTAGCCATATAAGAAATCGTGGGCGTGAATAATTATGCTTAGGTTCCCGCCAATCACTATGATTGACAGCACTTCCGGGCACGGTTCTGGACAGTCAGGCTGTGTCCCGTTCTGTGCCCGCTCAGGCACGGAATGGGACGGGCACAGTTTGGGACACAACAGGCACGGTGGGGCAGATCGTCATGGCTGACGTCACCGGGGACGGCATACAGGAAGTCTTCGTCCCGGCTTTAAAACGATAACAAAGTCATCGTGTACCAAGTCACCGACACAGAGGGATAAATCTTGTTCAACTTAGTATAGATAAGTGACTAGAACATTGACTTTGAAAAATCTACTTTCCAAGCCCTGAAAATTGCACTGGATGCCTTTAAATACTATCATGTATAGTAGTACTAGTACCTTCGCAGAAGGAAAGCATATTGTTTTTATTCAGTTTCTTCCTCTCCAACCACATGGTCAATGACCTGAACCAGACGTCTATCACCATGGTAACCAGTGCTGTAGACACCCTGTGATGGATTACATTATGTAGTCATTGTGTACCAAGTCACCGACACAGAGGGATAAATCTTAAAGGCATCCAATGCGATTTTAGGGCAGCAAAACTGGAAATATTACGAGTATGAATAAGAAAATCGGTATGGTATTGACACATACTGCTTCACATTATCACATTTGAATCAGCCTTTTATACTTAGGCCATTTAAAACTGCAGAAACAAGCCCCAAGATGAGTCCTTTATTTTCGGGGTGGTACCCTAAAAATCAGCTCAGGGCCCTTTCAGTAACCATTTACCGTCAAAATGTTTCGAATTTTTGCTCCATGAGGGTCAATATACATTGGCACAGTGTGGTTTCAAGTCACTATGTCAGAATCTTAGCTTTGAAAAATCGGGTTTCCAACCCCTAAAACGGCATTGCATGGATACTAGTATCTTTAACTGCTCGGTTCAGAAACGCCAGACTAAATAAATTCTACCAAGTTTTGTCAACGTGTTGTTTTCTTATTTGTCAACCTGTTGCGTTTATTCACCCTGCAACAAGCGTCTTTGATAAGGTAGCTGCTGTGAAAATTCATATTTGGATCAAAGACTTTCCTAGCTAGCGATTATGTTGGTTTCCCACATACACAGACTCATAAGTTGCAATATGGCAAAAAAAGCGGCTTGTAAAATCTTCAGCCTCCTAACAATGCTTCTGTTCTTTCACGATGCCGTTGTTATTGGCATTCTCATTGGTTGGTTCTTGCTGAGCATAACAGAGACCAATCAAAACGCGTGACAGGTTGCGTGATAGGCAGGGTTCAGAGCGCTGTTGCGCACCCGTGGAGGGAACACGGCTGTTTTCTGTGCTGTAAAGGTAACACTTTTTACAAAACCATCTTGTAATGTGGTAATATAGCCTTCTGTTGTAGCTCATTGCTATCAATAGTATGGTGTGTTAACCTTCTATCATGGCGATAAAGCTGATGACAAAAGTCTCTTTGTTGCTGCTTATGTGGCTGCTAGTGCCATGTGTGGACGCAGGTAGCTGGCAGAGCTGCCGTAAAGTGTCCGTGGCGAAGTGTGGTGTAGGTGACAGCCGTAGCGGTGGCCACGAGTACCGATATGACATTGGACCGTACCGGTACAAGTGGACCAAACACCCGTCCGAAGCAACAAGCTACAAGGGGCCGTTTGGATACTCATTTGCTTTGAGTCAGATGTTCCAGTCGTGTCAGATCTGCTCTAACGAAACAAGGCCTACACAGGGGGGTCCCAATCAGAACCCCTCGCCACAAACGAGAACCAATATCATGATCGTTGACAACAACGTCGGCACGCTTGGCACTGACAAGGCAGAGATCCTCTCTCAGATCCCATGTGGTAGAATGTGCAGGTTGTGGTTTGTGGGTTGTAACCTAACGGCAATAGAGGTAGGGGCGTTTGCTAAGTTGCCACAGGTATCTACCCTGGTCATCTGGCGGAGCAACGTCCAGACTCTGAAGAACAGCACGTTTGCTGGGATGCAGGGCCTGAAGTATCTGCTGATGTTGGAGAACAACCTAACACATCTGGAGGTAACAAATAGCACACATTGACATCCTGTTTTTTTATCATATAGGACTCATCTCAAAGTGGATATTCTTTGTAAGGCAGACAAGTCTCATAATATGGTTCTTGTGTTGTAAAATTGTCGTATAAATGAAGTTTATCTTCAACAATATGCAATGCTTCAAATAGATCTTAATTCTTAATCGTTCTTAATTCTGCATATGTCTGCTACAGGATGGCTGCTTCTATGGGCTACCCAGGTTGTCCTACCTCGTCTTGGTGGACAACCAAATCCTGACGCTGTCGCCTGGCACGTTCCTGGGAGTGGAGCCACCCTGGTTTGACGTAAGTGCCAATCACATCACTAACGTAGCACCGGGGACCCTGCAGGCGATCAAGCCCGTAGAACTTGTCCGTTTCGTGCAGAACAAACTGCGCTCGATCGACGCGGGGATGTTCCACGGGCTTGAACGACTGCGAGCCCTGAACTTGGAGGGTAACAAAATCTCCCACATTGCTGACGGCGCGTTCCACGCAAACACGAAACTGCATTCCCTAAACCTTGCAGAAAACAGGCTGACCTTCCTGTCTGGTGGTTGGTTCAAAAAATCATTTCCAGGCTCTCTCGTCGTGTATGGAAATGGTGTTGCCGCCATTGCGCTGGAAGGGAGGGGGTTGTCTTGGAAAAGAATCAACATGAGCAATCGTCCGCGCTGTACGTGTGCCAATGATTGGCTGTACGAAAACGGGGGCGGGACCAACCCAAAGTTCAAGCAGCGCTATAGAGGTACCATACGGGCAGCAAGCTGTCCCGCCTTGGCACTGATGCGAAACCTCTCCGCGCCAGTCTATCCCAGCGACACCCTGCCCTGCCCGCCACCGCTAGTGGAGATCGGTACAGCCGAACGCATTGCCGATCACAAGTACAGGGCCGTGGGCAGAGTGTACTGGGAGCAGTTGCCCCAAGTGTCCTGGACCTTCCCTCCAAACGACTCACGACACTCGTTCGACATGACGTACGAAAAGGACACGACCACTCACGACAGTCTCCCGATTGGTAACCTGACCGTGAGAGTGGTGACCGACCTAAAGGCTGAGGGCTGGGTGAAATGTAAGGGGCCAGAATCAGGAAATCACAGCCTGTGTTCTAACTACATGGTGAGGTCCAGCTTCACCCTTTGGCTTGAGACCGCCGAGCCCTTGCCCTTTGGGAACACCACTTGTACGGCTTCTTCGGAAACTGGCTCCGACACTGCCGTCTTCGCGGTGAGCGCGCGCGCACACTCTGACACGACAACACTACAAGCGACAGAGCTCCCACACATAAACACGACACCACACTCAGCCAGTATCCCCTCTACACCACTGTCCACTAGCGCAAGTCATGATGGCCACGACGATAGTATGTGCAGCTGCACATATGCATGGTACAAGGTGTTGGCAGTTTCTGGCTGGTTACTGGCTGTTGTTGAGTGGCCGGTGATTTTGCTCTGTGGCTGGTGTGTGGTCAGGCATAGTAAAGCCCCAGGTAACTGTGCAGGTCCACCCCGCAATGGCGATCAGGTCAACGCCTGCTCTAGGTGGCCTTTGTCAGGTGACAACTCGGATGGCTCAGTGATCAGTCCTTACGCTGAGGGGCGTTTCGACGATCACGACAGCTCGGGTGTGTCAGTGATCAGCCCCTACGCTGAGGGTGGTTTCCAGGACCACCCTGATCTGCGCAGGGCCGGTTCTTCCTGCTCAGAAGCCTTCCCGTACGGCCAGGCCAAGCTTGGCGCAGCGTACGCAGCCCGCCCCCGCGCGCAGACCCACCCCGTGCCGTCCCGCCCGTACAACACCGAGCGCCCCCGTCAGACACCAAACAGGGAAAGGGCCGTCGTGGCTGGCTATGGTCAAAACGGCAGCGATGAGTCTGGTGGCAAAAACTGCTACCAGCACCCAGTCATTCTGTACAACCAGCAGGGTGCCACAAAGTCCCACGCCTACCAGCAGAATGTCGGCAGTGCTCTGCGCACCGGCAAGGCAGCTAGCTACAACTCCCCTTCCCTGTTGGGTGCCACAAAGTCCCCCACCTACCAGCAGAATGCCGGCGCCGGTCTGCGCACCGGCAAGGGAGCTTCCTACAACTCTCCTTCCCTGTCAGGTGCCACAAAGTCCCCTACCTACCAGCAGAATTCCGGCGGCGCTCTGCGCTCTGACAAGGCATCTTGCTACAACTCCCCATCCCTGGCCAGACACATCTAGACCGTACCCTGTCCTAGCCTGGTATTCAAACCTGTTTAATCTTCAAGCCAAGGAAAATTGCGGAGAGGACGAAATAGATTTGGCAGCTAAGATATGTCTGGATACCAGGCTAACATTGTCCAGCCACAGCACACATGACCAGCATGGCCGTAGCAAAGTTCTGTGTCACTCTGTAGAGTCTACTAAAGTCAAAAGCTACGAACCTGCACTGTAGTGAGCCCGACATTTAATTCTATTTCACTCTCTCCAATCAATATTTCAATTGAATTCTGTGCAAACATGGGGGGAGGGGGGATTCAAATGTTGGTCTGGTAAACAATTACATTTTAAGAGGATCATACATATTATTTGTAGCGAATTTAAACTTTAAATGAAAATGCCAGTATGACAAAAGAATATTTATGTAACAAAATGAAAGAGACGACAATGTCTGGTAATATTCTAATCTGTTTAAGATTAAACTGGAAATGAAAAGGAAATGCTGACAAATTCTTGCTTTGTGTATATTACTTTCTTTCTACGACATGTTTTCATTCTCTTTCAGGTTTTCTTTTTGTTGTTGATTTTTTGCTTTGTTTCCCATTCATGCGTTTTATTATTAAAGCTTTGGCTAACACATGTTTTTTTTCTTCAATTTTGGCTCAATTTCTGCTAAAATATTTTAACGACTGCACAGAAATTTCTTGGTATGATAAAAAAAGTTACAGAGCTAACATTTGGGGTTTTGACGAGACAACATAAGAAGTCATAGAAGCAAATTTCAGTGTTGTAAAATTTTAGGGTTTTGTAAACGAACATGGTAAACATTGCAGTTTTGAGATTAAATTGGAAATGAAAAGGAAATGCTGAAAAATTCTTGCTTTGTGTATATTACTTTCTTTCTACGACATGTTTTCATTCTCTTTCAGGTTCTCTTTTTGTTGTTGATTTTTTGCTTTGTTTCCCATTCATGCGTTTTATTATTAAAGCTTTGGCTAGCACACATGTTTTTTTTTCTTCAATTTTGGCTCAATTTCTGCTAAAATGTTTTAACGACTGCACAGAAATTTCTTGGTATGATAAAAAAAGGTACAGAGCTAACATTTGGTGCTTTGACGAGACAACATAATAAGTCATAGAAGCAAATTTCAGTGTTGTAAAATTTTAGGGTTTTGTAAACGAACATGGTAAACATTGCAGTTTTGAGATTGGCAGAATCATGCATAAATTCATCTCTTGACAATTCTGTACAGCGCTAGTATACTGGGCTGAAAACAAAAACAGAAATTTGCTATTTACTGCAAAATTTGAAAACCGAATGTATGAGCAGACTAAAGTGTATACTACAGTCTCATTGAATTCTAGCTCCTAAAATTTTGACCAAAATTGCACAGAGATTCCTGTTGGACTAAAATATAGCCTGGATGCTGTCCTGCTTATGATTATGTGCTGCGTATTTAAATGTTTTTGTTCTTTCAATTTTCTCAGGACGGTATCTAGGCTGTAGCAGGTACTACTATATAATGTACATCCTATTCTATAGACTTTCTTCTAAAATTTGTACTGTCAGTAGTACGTAGCCTTTGGAAACCGGGAAGGAGTATAATTGGACTTCTACCTTTGCAAATTGCTCTATTCTATGTGTGAATTGACTGAAATAATCCAGTTTTACAGTTCTGCAAGAAATGACATGCGTCTTATTTCAAATTGTGTACTTACAAAAGACATTTTATACTCCTTCTTGGCTCAAATGGGAAAATACATATACATTACTAAAGTATGTAAGTAAGGCCATGTTGATTTGATTATATGGATGACATCCTCTGGGAACTCGAAAACTGATGCGAGCGTGCGAATAAAAAAAAGTTTTGCAAAAAAAAAGTTGCTTTCACTATGAAATCTACGTGGTCATGAAGGTTGAACAAATGACACAGAATATGTTATGGCGAATAATCTACTCTTCGAATTCATTTCTTTACATTTTTGTCTTTTTTCCTTTGATTTTGGCATTCGTTGGTATCGTTTCTAAATATTTTCCTTGCAACTTATGGTATATTTTTGCTCATTTAGCAACTTTTTTGCACGATTTACAGTATGGTTGAAAACTTTTTTTTTTTTTGGAAACGGCCGAAAATTCATGCGCGCGCGGATGTCATCCATATAATCAAATCAACATGGCCTAAGGCAGTGCTGGTGGTGCCAAAACCTTTGTAAAAGTTTGTTTAGAACGATAATTTACCATGATATTTACATCTACATCCATTTTGTACTGGACCAATCCCCATATGGGATATCTCACCCAAACCATAGTCTGAAAATTTATATCATAGCATTCATGAACTATTCTAACATAAGCATCATAGCAAAATAAATTGAAAATCATAGCATTGTCTGAAAATGACTGGAGAAAAGCATCCGAGTGTTTGGACTGAAACCCCAAAGATCCTGAGACTCGAACCCGGGACTTCTGATCCAGAGCCATGCTGCATGCATATGGTCACTACCTATTGGGTTATTCTTGCTTGCTGTCCATGTGGTATTTACTGTTTCAAGTGGCGAAGTTAAAATCATTTAAGATGGCGGGGTCATGAGGCAAACAATTGTACTGGAAAAAGTACACAGGCAATTGAATACAAAAATGTAACAAGCGATGTCATTTGCCAGACCCAATGTTTTGCACTTTGTTTACAAACCTGTTATTTAAAAAAAAAATCAAGAAATCTGTATATGATATGACTCTCCGTGCAGTGTGCATGTGTGCAGGCATATGCATCATTCCGGGGTGTCTAAGCCCATTAGAAACCATGAAATATTGTGTGGACCGTTTTAAATACAGTTCCATAAACATCCATATACAGGAGGCGATATGAGCTATTCTGCAAAGCAAAATGCTCATGTGCAAGAATCACGAACTGTTCATGTAACTGCCACATCACTGTTCCTCCCCCATTTTATTTTTACAACACTATCATCTGGAATCAAATTGCAAGTTAGCAAGGGTTGCATAGATAAACTTCAGAAACTACAAAACAGGGTGCAATCACTACTTACACTGAAACTATACTGCCCAAACTAGACTGGACCATAGGATGCGATTATTACTAACGTGACACCAACTGGAGCTATACTGCACAAACTACTGGACCACAGTCACTGTGGTACATCTACGTACCGTACTAGCCCCACGCGAATTTTATTACAGTGGTACCGGTAAAGAACCCATGTCAGGGCCATTGATTAAGCAGCACTTTTTCAAGGCCCTGAATGGTATGGTCGAGCCCTCCCCACATCTTGTGCTGTGTTCACACATCACACACCTATAACATGGGTCTCTCCATAAATTCTGAGGGGAGAGGTGCTCTCTAATCGGTTGATCGATGAAAAATCAGAGAAAACCCTGAATTTGAACATTTTGGGGTCCTAGGATTTTGGGGAGAGAGGGAGCACCCTTGCTGCATTGCTTGGGGAGAGATCTGCTCAGAAGACAGGGTTACTCTCATAATACACAAGACAGAGCACGGGGGGGGGGGCTACAACTGCCGAAAGCACATCTATAATTTATACACCTTTTATGTACTAGTGCAGCCCTACGGGAACACTCTTCCTATGCTTAACAATTCTATAACCAGGAATGTGGTTCACACAATAACTGTTTATGTTGCATTTATCATTTTTCGGACATAATGATGTATTTTCCATGACTTAACGTTACATCATTTCCACCATTTGTTATACAGGCATTTCATTTGCTGGTTTCATGTACCCCACCATCTTATGGTGTTATTTGACGTACTTCGGTTACTTTTGTACCGTTGTCTTAGAATGTTAGCTTTTAATTGGTGATTTCATGACACTGTGTATGACTGTATATCCTAGTACGCTCTAATATCTTGCATGCATGCCTACAGAACCAAGCAGCGATATATAATTCAAATGTAGTAAACAAACGTCATAAAACAAGTGAATATCATCAAAATGATGTATTTCTATTGATATTATGTAACTGCAGAAATGAATAACTTTAAAATTTGATGTTGAATAATAATTTGCAAAGTCTGTGAGTTTTTGACTGTGAAACGAGTGATAATGTATAAATGTTAGCGTAATATTGGCCACAAATATGTACAAAATGTATGTTAATGATTACTAATGAAAACAAAATGATGTTCGTAATATGGATGTTTGGTTTGGAATGGTCAAATGACATTTGCCTTGGTTATTAAGCCCAAACACGACTGATATTGGCACCACCGGGCAAGGTAAACCACTAGAACCAGAAGGTTTCTTATGTGAAGTTTGAAGAATTCGAATAAAATTTTAAGTGTTGTAACCCTTAGCGTTGGGCTATTTTGTGGCATTCTGGATCGTGCGATTGAACGTATTGTGAGTGAGTGAGTGAGTGAGTGAGTGAGTGAGTGAGTGAGTGAGTGAGTGAGTGAGTGAGCGAGCGAACGAGCGAGCGAGTGAGCGAGCGAGTGGGCGAGAGTGAGCGAGTGAGCGAGTGAATGAGTGAGTGAATGAGTGAGCGAGCGAGTGAGTGAGCGACTTTGAAATTACAAAAAAAAGGATGAAATGACAAATCCCGATGGCTATATTAAGAAAATAATGATCTTCAATGAGAGATGTATATTATAATAACAGTCAAATAACAATTTCACCAATCAAGCATTAAAACAAACATTTAAAATATCATATATAGGAACTATGTTTTCTGCTCAGTGCCCACATTTTGAAAAGAAAAAGGCACCACCGAAAACATACTGTAATTCCTGATTTTTTTTCACTCTACTTTTACTTGTACGTTCACTGTTTTCACTGTCACTTCTGTACCGTGAACTTATCATTACAGTGAACAAGTAATTCCTGGACTAAATTCTGTTCCCTGCACCTGTCGCCATAGTGAATTTATAGTTCCGCGAACATGTCCATTCTTCTCAGACCGTGAACTTTTGCTACAGTGAACATGAAGTGAATTACTGTATGCGAACAAACAGAACAGATTTCGAACACCGTTTGTTTACAATGAAGGAGTACAATCCACACCGCCATGCTGAAAATTCAAGTAAACAACAGTTTGAGCGGAGGCACAGACTAATAAAGTGAGTGGAAATTGTTTGAGTAAAAAAAGAGAAGTTGACGATGTTTGCTATTCCAATGGGACATTTTTGGGTAGCTTTCATGTTGCTCTGAGAGGTAGTGAGGAAAGCTTTGAAGCACCGCCGGCGCTTAAAAGTGTAATAATATACTCGCCTGTTGGGCTACACTTTAGACTTTGTAACTTACAGTGTGTGCGTGTGTGTGTGTTTTTATGTGTCTGTGCGTGCGTGTGTGTTTGTGTGTGTGTTTGTTTCTGTGTGTTTCTGTTTGTGTAGCCATAATCTAAAATATAAAAAGCCAATAGAAGAACGTTTTCGTCTTAACATAGGTACAACGGTATTATCTGCTGGACTACTGAGTCAGACGTTTCAAGTAAAATAGATTGCAGCAAGGAAACACAACACACAACGTTAACGTAATGCACAGCAACTTCAACTTTTATACTTTCTTGGTTTTACAAACTATCACAAGCTTTGGGGTAAGGCCATGTTGATTTGATTATATGGATGACATCCTCTGGGAACCCCGAAATTGATGCGCGCGTGCGAATAAAAAAAAGTTTTGCAAAAAAAAAGTTGTTTTCATTATGAAATCAACGTGGTCATGAGGGTTGAACAAATGGGACAGAATATGGTTTGGCGAATAATCTAGTCTTCAAGTTCATTTCTTTACAATTTCGTCTTTTTTCGTTTGATTTTGGCATTCTACGACATTGGTATGGTTTTTTTTGTAACTTACGGTATATTTTTGCTCATTTTGCAACTGTTTTGTACGATTTACAGTATGGTTGAAAACTTTTTTTTTGAAACGGCCGAAAATTCATGCGCGCGGATGTCATCCATATAATCAAATCAACATGGCCTAAGGCACACTCTTCGGTCGTTAATGTACAGCATAACTTCAATATACACTGCGTACGAGTATTTGAGGCATCGTTTCGAAGTTAGCATGCAAAGTATTTCTTTCTTGATTTCAGCTTTATACATCAAAAGTCTATCATATAAGTCATCAAACACCGAGCCATGTCATAATAATACATAAGCAGTAAAATGAACAAAAATGAAATGTCCGTACTTTGTGGTGCTGGTTTAAAGACACTGCACTAATAAACGCTAATCAGCTCCAACTTAAATCTGATAAATACCTTACATGTTAAAAGTAAGGTATTCTGACGAAAAGTGTCCAAACTGTGTTATACATAATCCAGGGCCCTGTTGTAAGGCAGTGGTCACAACAAATGGGCAACAATGGCTAATATGGCGGAAAATGAAGATTATTATATCATAAAGAGCGTGACGGCATTGCCACCATGCATTTTACCGGGCTCCTAATGAAAGATAGCCTGTCTAGTTTACCGGGCTCCTAATGGAAGATAGCCTAGCTAGTTTACCGGGCTCCTAATGAAAGATAGCCTGGCTAGTTTACCGGGCTTCTAATGGAAGATAGCCTGGCTAGTTTACCGGGCTTCTAATGGAAGATAGCCTGGCTAGTTTACCGGGCTTCTAATGCAAGATAGCCTGTCTAGTTTACCGGGCTCCTAATGGAAGATAGCCTGGCTAGTTTACCGGGCTCCTAATGAAAGATAGCCTGGCTAGTTTACCGGGCTTCTAATGGAAGATAGCCTGGCTCAATAAGTTTACAGGGCTCCTAACGCAAGATAGCCTAGTTTACCTGGGCTACTATACTCCCTCTTTGCATGATGTATGCTTATTTCATGATTAGGTGATTGCAATAACATACACATATTAGCCAACCAGCATGGCGGGTAGTACTGACGCCATAGTCACGTGGGTACAAACTCCCTAGGCCTAGGTCCATACCAACTGGTTGGGCCCAGTTTTTAGAACTTTGCCAGTTTCTGGTTGGCCTTCGTGAGACGCCGACGTTTCTCAGTCAGCACGGTCCGTTGTTCAGTGGTGTCGGGGTCTTCGTGAAGCAGCTCCAGTGTGTCTGGCTGTGCGATCATCAAAGTTATCTGTGAAAAAAATGTAAAGAACAACTTGAAAAAATGATACGTTTAGAATATGACCGAAAATATTTACGGTCATTCAAATTCAAGTCTGAAGACACTTGAAATGGAAACAACCAAAATTTGAGCCAAGAAAACCACCCAATAAAGACTTTGTTCAATAACTACGTAAGAGCAATCGGCACTCACCTGATATTTTACCTCCTCTGTGAAGTTAGTCAAGAGCTGCAGACGGATTGCCATCGGGACCGTGTCGGACAGGCGTCGGATAGACACCTGCAGTAGTACAATGAACAATGATGCAGACAATAGTATAATAGGGTTGTCCACAGTCTGTAGCATCTATCTGCTCTTACCTAAATATCTGATTTTATGGTTTCATTCAATTTCTACTTTCGCTCTCGATATAAATTGGAGTACGTAATTTCAATCATTCTTTTGAATTTGCTGTAAGATACATTTATAACTGCTTTTGATCAGGTAGAGTTTTTAATCATGTATTTAACATGTAAAAGGTCTTACTTCAAAGTAAGCCTTTATGTACTGCAGCATTTCTTCTGACTCCTTCTGTTGGTCTGTCCGCAAATCTTCCTGGTCTCCACTGTTCCTGTTTGTTCCCTTTTTAATGCTCTGTGCTTCTTCCTCGAGCCTCTGTCAGAAATAACCGTTTTGTAGTTGTAATATCAATAGTAGTGCTGGGTTGTTTTTAACTTGATATGTACAAATAAGTTAATGTTATTAGTAGAAATAAAAAATAAATAAATAACAAGTACAGGCATAAAAAGGATGAGTGTGCGCGCCAAAAGCGTTGAAGACATATGTTAGCGTTAAATCATGAACTTAACCTAGTTCAAATTTTAAGATACAGTTGATCTGAACACACATTACATTATAACACTAGAAACTGTGTGTGGATAAGGACTGAATATGTGATGAACACCGGTACCGTACCTTCAGAGCGCTGTGAAAGATGGCGTCCTGTGTAAAGACAAGGTTCTCCATTTCAAACAGCTGCTTGATCACCTCCTGAGCCTTCCTCTCCTGCGCCAGACGAAGATCATTGATTTTTTCCTGTGGCCAAGTCAAATGTAACGCTTTACAAAATGTTGGACAGGTCTTCTTGTCCCAGCCTTGGGCGTCAATGTGTCTCAACCACAACGCATCTTCAAACATGTCCAGATTGGTTTTCAGCACTGACTCTAAGTGTAGTTGGATATCGTTTGTAGTTGTATTGCCTTTATGACCACAAGATCACGATAATTACTCTGATTTCTGGAGTTATATTGTGTTTGGTCCTCCATTATATCATATTCAAAGTATATTTTGCATCTCAATAGTTACCCAGCGTACATTTTTGTTCTCTTATTATTTGGCCATGTATTTCGAATTTACCTGTTTTCTCTCGCCTTCCATTCCATAAACGGAAAAGTGTGAGAAAGAAATAAGCAAATATTACAATACCTCAGAATTGATATTAGTACATGATAACAGGAACACTTGTCTGTACTACTGTCGAGTTCCTTCTCTGGCCTAAGATGAAGACTTCACGATGTAATGTTGTCTTTTCTTACAACAAAAGGCTGACCTTAATCGCCATGTTCAGCTGTGAGTACGCCTGGAACCAGTGAGTTGTCAGTAGAGATAGGACGGTCTCCACTTTTTGGTTGACACGGAGCAGGCAGTCGCTGGCCGGCTCCTGGAAGTTTTCCATGTGTTTCTGTATGAAGGCCTCGCAGACGGAGTAGGGCAGGAAACCCGGCAGCTCCCGGCCTCGGTTGGTCTGTATGGACTCTTCTATGTCCTCCAGGTTTCCCTCGCCTACCAAGAAGGGCCAACGAGGTTTAAACATGTTTAGGTTCAGAAGGTACATGATGTATTCTATATGTGCAAAAATATGACATATGATTGAGTACCGTCGCTTGTGTGTATAGCGGGACTTTGTTTTTTGTATAGTACTACTGTCTCACATCGGCATTCTATAGTGGTATACTCACTGGTACCCTATAGGGTACAACAATCATCTTTAACTGGGGTTAAGCAAAATGCTTTTTCAAGTAGCTTATAGTGCAATTCGGCTTACCTACGCCTCGCGTTTTATAGCCAAGAAAACCAGGTCACTTCTAGGCTAGTCTTTTCGATAAGTGGTTCTTTTAAGCGACGGTCACAACCCCCCGTACGTGCTTCTGCGTGTTGTCTACGTGCAAAAACGTGGGCAAATGCAGGGCATCCGTGCGTGGTGAGTACAGCCTCCGTACGGAATCCTACGGAGGTGGGAGCACGCAGACACGCCGTAAAACTTTAAGTGCATGTAAAACTTTTTCTGCGTGCGGTCTACGGATTCACCACCCGTGCGTGCGAGTACGAGCGACGCGCGTGCCCCGTACGTGCCGTACGGAAGAAGCACGTGTGAGTACGGCCTCCTTACGGTAAAGTTGCAATCGCACAGAGATCGTACGTTGTAAGCACGTGCAACTCACGTACCACTTGCTCAACGTACGATGCACGCAACCTCTCACGGCCAGGTGCAGACCACACTCTTACACCTTGCGAAACCGTGCGAGTGACGTGTGAGTGACGTGCGTCGATGCCACTCCTTCCCCACGTTTTCAGAAAAAACGTATCAGACGTAGCCTCCCAAAAAACGTACGGACAAAAAGCACGTACGGTGGGTTGTGACCGTCGCTTTACTCATGTTAGGTTCTTGAGACTTCCTCACAACATTTACGAGCTGACGCCACATTAACGTGTATTATATATAAATCTTTCTTACCAGGTAACAGGCCTTCTAGTTCAGCCGCAAAATCTCTGTATGCATCCCTCACGTCACCAATCAGCCACACCTGTTTCTGCTGTTTCACGCTCATCTTATTCCGAACCTGTTCACCATTGGTCAGTTTCTCCAGATCGACGGTAAAGCCGTTCAGCAACTGAAAAGCATGATTGAAACTTATTAAACTTCTAACAATAGATCGATGCTGGCATGGAGAGACGGGTTGTCAGTAGCAGTATGGGGAGGGGTACGTACCTTCTAGATCAGCTGTTAGTTGGTGCAGTACTGAAAATATGAGGACAAAGGGATAGTACAAAGATTATCTTGCATATATCAATCAGTACATTTTCTTTACCTCTACAAGGAAGCGCATCTTGCTGGAAGGATCCTCTGGGATCCCATCTCCCAACAACAGTAACTGTCGTTCGGTATCCCTCAGCTTCTCTCTGATGTCTTCTTTAAGTCCAGGGATGGACTTCTGTAAGAGGGAAAAGATATTATTATCATCATATTTAATTGAGTTTATCTGTAGATTATGAACCGTCTTAGACGGTATAGTTTCCAATCAAGCAATAATGAAAATTCGGTAAAAAAAGGATCTCCTCCAAGTATGAAGATCTGTGTTTTATGTGGTGATTTAATAAGAAGGACTATGATGAACCGTTGCCGTTGGGTGTGGATGGATGGGAATCCTTGTTTGTCAACTTTCTGATATCAACAGTAGCTCAGTCCTCCCTTGTTCATTTACCCCACCTTGATTTGCTCCACCAGCTCTGTGGTCAGTTTGCCCGCCAGTGTCTTCGTCCCGGTTTTCTTTTCCTCGTAAAGTATTCTGGAAAAAAAGGAAACCACGGAATCTGTATTACTAGTAACATTAACCAACAATGTAATTCATGATAATGATCTAAGAACAAGGTAATTTTGAGAGAAATTGTGAGGATAACGCAAGAACTGGTCAACGGATCGTCGTGATTTTTGATATGTAGGTCGCTTACGTAATGCTTGGTATAATTATGTGACATTTATGCAAATATGGATGTAATTTGCATAATTTATGGAGATTCTATAAATCAGTTGCATTCCAAAAATTGATTGGACTACTGAAGCTTGTGACATTGGTAATTGAGAATGAGAGAAACACACAGTCAGGCAGATATTGATTATGTAAATGAAGACTTAATTTGCATGATTAATGAGAAAACTTTATAATCTTATAATTATGATAAATATCTATAAGTTTATAATTATGTAATGATAACTGCCTGGACTTTCATACTTGTGCCAAGTTGTGGTATTTGAAAGTTCAGTGAAGGTGAACATCATTAAACATAATGTATTCAAATCATGACCTCTTAAACATAATGTATTCAAATCATGACCTCATTTGCATAATTTATGAGGAAATGCTAGAATGGTATTGTTTGTTAGTATAAGTGACTTTTGGTTGAGAATATGATAAACCGATGTTCATGAAAATGAGGATCCTATTTGTTTAATCAGGGGGAATAATCTATAATTTGTCAGGCATAAAGTTTACCATCATTTGGCGAAGGTATGAGATCGGGGAACTCTAGTTTTTTTTAGATCTTTCTTCCCTACTGAAAGGTCAAACATAAAAAGATAAGACAAAGACATCGGGGGCTTACTTGAAATGTTCGTGCTTCTGGAAGAACATCTCTTCTTTATCCATGGCATCACTCAGGGAGACTTTATTTTCGATGTCGACTTGTCCCCTACACTTGATGATGGTATAGCCCTTCTTCAGTGCGTACTTCCTGTTGTTGACGATGTCCACTGTCATGTTCTCTGTCCCGCGGTCAATCAGGTCAGGCTTGGTCAACACACCTTCCGGGGAAACCAGCAGAAGAGTTGGTTATTTCATTCTGCCTGCAGTGTTTGGGCATTTCTACCTCCATGGCTTGGGTATCCATAAGCATTTGGCACGAACCTTAACTTAAAAGCGAGATTTTGCGACAGACTCTCGGCATCTGCTCTCAAAACCATTCACTGATTTTACCAAGAAGTGAAGGTGAACATATGCATCATTAAACATAACTTATGCAAATAAGGACCTCATTTGCATAATTTATGAGGAAACGATTGAATGGCTTTCTTTGTTAAGATAAGGCTGTCTTTTGATGGAGAATATGATCAACTGATATAATTCATGCAAATGAGGATCCTATTTGCATAATCAGGAGGAATCATCTTTGTCAGTCATAAAGATTAACATCATTTTGCGTAAGGTATGAGATCGTGGGACTCTAGTTGAATTTTCAACAGTTGCATTTCACGTTCGAAATCGTTTTACCGCGTATACGTGGGATGCTCAGGTTTACTTTACGCTCTGGAAGATAAAGATTTAACTTGTAATTTGGAGAGTGTTAAACACGAAATAACAAGATTGGGTTCAATACAAAACAAACATATGCAGCTGTCAAACCTCTTTATCATTAGGCCATGTTGATTTGATTATATGGATGACATCCTCCGGCAGCCCCAAAACTGATGCGCGCGTGCGAATAAAAAAAAGTTTTGCAAGAAAAAAAAAGTTGTTTTTATCATGAAATCTACGTGGTCATGAGGGTTGAACAAATGGGACAGAATATGGTTTGGCGAATAATCTAATCTTCAAGTTCATTTCCTTACAATTTCGTCTTTTTTCGTTTGATTTTGGCATTCTACGACATTGGTATAGTTTTTACTTATTTTTTTGTAACTTACGGTATATTTTTGCTCATTTTGCAACTGTTTTGTACGATTTACAGTATGGTTGAAAACTTTTTTTTTTGGAAACGGCCGAAAATTCATGCGCGCGCGGATGTCATCCATATAATCAAATCAACATGGCCTAACCATCAGAGAAAACAATCATTTAAGAGAACCTAGAGTCCTTGATCCGTCAGGGTCGACCTCCTTCGCCATTTTCAGTGCCTCAGTGGTGGCGATATCCACATTACAGGGCACCACAGCCAGGATGATGGTCTCATCCATCTGGATGTACTCCCTGATCAGGGCTTTGGTCTGTGGACACAGAACATCTGTCAATTCTGGTATCATCCCTGAATTATCGTAATGAAAACGATAGTTTATGTAATTTAAAGGTCCCCCTGATGTTTCCATACAGCATACAAACATGAATGGATTATCATGAAAGTTCATCTGTGTTGGTAGTAATCATAAACAGAATCCAAAATAATAAGGGAAAATCCATTTTATTCCCTTTTTTTCGACTTGAGATTCAGAAAATGAAGTTTTCAATTTTACGGAATTGCAGTCGTTTTGGCTGGTTATTTAGAAATCCAAGAAACTCATATCTAGATATTCAAGACATACTGAGTCGATTTCCTCATAGAGAGTTTTGATTATTCAGACATGTAGGGTGGATTTCTGGAATTGGAAGGCGAAGATACATGGACTTTGAGTAATTTTACTCAAAACGGGCATTTTGAGTAATTCTAGTCAAGACAGACATTCTGAATCTGCGTAATTTTACTCAAGACCGGCATTCTGAGTAATTTTACTCAAGACAGGGAACTCTGAGTAATTTTACTGAAGACGGGCATCCTGAGTAATTCTAGTCAAGACGGACATTCGGAGTAATTTTACTCAAGCGGGCATTCTGAGTAATTTTACTCAAGACAGGGAACTTTGAATAATTTTACTCAAGACAGGCATTCTGAGTAATTTTACTCAAGCGGGCATTCTGAGTAATTTTACTCAAAACAGGGAACTCTGAATAATTTTACTCAAGACAACCATTCTGAGTAATTTTACTCAAGACAGGGAACTCTGAATAATTTTACTCAAGACAGGCATTCTGAGTAATTTTACTCAAGCGGGCATTCTGAGTAATTTTACACAAGACAGGGAACTCTGAGTAATTTTACTCAAGCGGGCATTCTGAGTAATTTTACACAAGACAGGGAACTCTGAGTACGAGGGGTGTTCAAAAAGTTCTCGGCCTCACCTAGAAAACGTCATGGCAGTAAAAATTTTCTTAAACTATTTTATAATATAGCCCTCTCTAACTGCAATGCACTTGGTCCAGTGATGTTCCAGCTTTATTTTCCCCTTGTGGAAGAAGGTTGCATCTGGACCCCCCAGATTGGCCTATACCGCATAGATGACGTCATCATTACCATCAAAACGTTGACCACGTAAGTGGAACTTGAGTTTAGGAAACAGGTAGAAGTCCTAGGGTGCTAGGTCAGGTGAATTGGAAGGGTGGGGTTAGACTGCAAACCCAAATTCGTTTGCTGCTGTCGCTGACCCCTGTGTTGTGTGGACAGGTGCATTTTCATCACGCCAGCTCGGAGCTTTCCTCTCCTTTTCTCTTTGATCGTTGCCCTCAAATGTCGTAATTCTGTTTTATAGTACTCCTCATTGATGCTTTAACCCCTTCGCATGTAGTCAATCATGATTGCTTCCTTACTGTCCCAGAAAACAGAGGCAAAAACCCTGTCAGCGGACGAAACTCGCTAAAACTTCTTTGGGGGGCGGGAAAAATTACTTCATCCATTGTTTGCTCTGTTGTTTTGATTCGGGGTGAAAGTGGTGAACCCAGCTCATCTTGAGTGACAAATGTTTTGAGGAAACTGCGTGAATTGGACTGAATTTGTTCCTTGAAATGTCAAGCCTGTTTAAGTTCTGATGTTCAAAAAACATTCGAGGCACCCACCATGCAGACAGTTTGTTCATCCCCAGGATGTTCGACAAAATATTGTGAACTGAGTCATAACACAGGCCAAAGAACCTGCTACATGTTGGACAGTCTCACATCTGTCATTCACTACCATGTGATGGATGGCCTCAACTGAATTGTCCGTGGTGCTGATTTGTGGCATCCTGACCTATGTTCATCTTTTGTGCTCTCCTTGCCGCGATTGTAGCTAGTAACCCCGTTCTTTATATTTAAATAAGAAGGGGAGTCATCACCAAGTGTCTTGACCATGT